AGTTTTTGTTAATATTGTTATTCCGTGGACCTTCTCGATGATAGATTGGGTGACAACATTCTTAAGGCAAGGCGTCACGATGATATTACACAGGGGAAGTCTGAGTACCCGCTAGTTGGTCGTTTAATTAATGATTGTACTGAATTGGTGTTTTGCTTCTCAGGTACAATGGGTCCCAGAAGAAAGAATGCTAACCAACCTGCTCTTGTCACCACTTCACAATCAGAGGGTCAGGGCGACTCCGAAGCGAGTGGGTCTGAGGTGCAAATAAATGTTACACCTGAAGATCACTCGCCTCGGGCTACTAGATCATTGGCTAGGAGAGCTACTCTCCAGGACTCTCCTCCTTAATCTGAAGAAAGAGGTAGTAGTTCCGAGAATGGGGAAAACTCGGGAAGTCAAACTGATACTGCTGCTGGTAACAAATCTGCAGATGACTCGGGGGACAGTGCTGAATCTGACAGCGCTTCGCAGGCTGACACAAGTACTTCGCCACCTGTGGCTACCACAGAAGCTGAAACAGGAGTACGAGAGGAAACAGTTAATAGAGAGAATGAGGAGGAAATCACTGATGATGATACCATGGTGATGTATGTGAACGCTCAGGAACCTAACCCTGCATTGAGACCACAGTTGATTGCTTGTTATCGCTCCATGTGGACTGTCAACAGGTCTAAAGAGTTCTTTGACAATGGTATTGTGAATAAAACTGGGAGCTTCAAGAATCGAGCAATTATGCCTGAGACTAGGGTGGTGGTAGCTGATGTCAAGCATTCTCGGATATCTATCGGATATTTCAGCTCCATCAATTCGATTTTCCAAACATATTTCTGCAAATGGAGATTCATATTCTCCACCTCTATCACTTCTGATCATTTTGAATTTAAAAAGGCCCTCAGTGAGGTAACCTTTTCCTACATACATCTCATTCTTACTTACTACAACTTTATCAGAAATAAATACACATTTGAATCCATTCTTAGTCAGAACTGGTATAGAAACTAGGTTCTTTTGCAATTCCGGAACATACGAGACCCTGTTCAAAGTCACCACCTTGCCTGATGTCATCTTTAGGAGGATCTTGCCAGTTCCTTCCACCTTTGCAACAATGGAATTTTCCATAAACAACTTCTCGTCTGTAGGTGCTGGAGTATATGATGAAAATAATTCTTTGTTGGCACAAACATGGCATGAGGCACCAGAATCTATCCACCATTCTCTTGGATTTCCAACCAAGTTGCATTCTGAAAGCATTGCACAAAGATCGTCCATCTCTCCTTTGGATTCAGCCAAATTTGCTTGATCCTTCTTCTTGTCCTTCTTGGGACCC